TTCTGGAATATCTCTCTCAAATCTCTCTAAGAACAAGCCAGCAGCCTTTATACAGTTCATGACTAGCAGTCAGTGGGATTCTAGGAAAGTGTCTGCCCCTCCAAGACAACCCTGACATAGGCCCAAATTCCGACATTAGGGTACAGTAGTCTAAATATTACTCTTATGGCTAAAAAAGCTGAAACTCAGCCAATTTGAATCATACAGCTTAGAAACAGCAGAACCAGGTTTAACCCAGACCTCTTGACACAAAGGCCAAATCATTATACCATGAATTTTCTCATCTATAAAATGAGGACATTGGATTGAAAGATTTCTTAATGCACTAAAAGTAAAAGTAAAAACTTTATAAGGATTTTGAAGACTCTACCCTATATGGGAAGTCTATTTTTTTGTGTGAAAAAGATGAAACTTATAACATGTCACTTCTTATTCTTCAGAGAAGTGTGTGTATATGTCCCACTCACATATGTACTATTTAATATATATGTGTGTGTGTGTATGTGTGTGTGTGTGTGTGTATACATATGTATATAAAATGACATTTCAGTATACAGGTAGAAAAATATGAAGAATATAACCCCCATTTCCAATGTAATACATGTTATAATGAAATGTTATGTGTATGTTAGGCACCTAGGTGGTGCAGTCGATAGAGTGCTGGGTCTGGAGTCAGGAAGCCTCATTTTTCTGAGTTCAAACCTGGCCTCAGACACTTACTAGCTATGTGACCCAGGGCAAGTCACTTAACCCTATTTACCTCAGTTTCCTCATCTGTAAAATGAGCAGGAGAAAGAAATGGCAAACTATTCCAGTATCTTTGCCAAGAAAAACCCAAATGGGGTCATAAAGAGTTGAACACAACTGAAAAATAACTGAATAATATGTATGTTTTATATATATATATATACACATACACACACATATATATGCACATGTATGTGTACATATATGTACATATACACATATACAGTGTGTGTATATATGTATATATACATACATATAAATGTTAGAATAATGCTATGCATATAAATGTTATAATGAAAACTCTCAGCTGCCACATCATTTGACTCCTCCTTTTTTACAAACTGGGGTCACTGAGAACAAAACAAACCAAAGAGGAAAACAACAGCTTTAGAATGTTGGATATGATTTAATGTAGCCTTCTACATGACTTCTGAAAACTACATGGAAGTTCATGACATGCTTTGAATCTTGCAATACCACATTTTCTGATCCCTTTTTTTAAAAAGCTGATCCCCAAATGCCTTTCTGATCCTTTTTTTTTAAATAAGCACACCAAACCAAAGAACTCAAATCAAAGCTATTTTTAATTAAACAGAATAGCAATATCAGGAAATAATCTCTCCTTTCTACTTACAATACAGATTCACTTTCCTACAGATTGCCATCTGGAAGAAGGAATTTGAGTAGCTCGGATAATTCGTATTCTGAAAGCCTAGTCCCAGATGAAACATTCCTCAGCCTCTGATGTCATCATTATGATATTTCTGGGAGTCACTATTCAAATTAACTATGATATTCTACCAGACTTTTTGGTCTGAAATTTCTCTTCCATTTAATTTCTTAACATATAAACAGTTACAAGAACCTAATAAAAATAATACAGAACAAAAAGTATCATGAAGTTTGAAAGTGTTTGTATCAGTTTCACAGCCTCAGATAGCATATAGTCTCAGGTACATTGAAAATAATGTCTAAATTAGCTTTAAAAGAATTTTGTATACTAATAAAAATGTGTCAAAAAATGGAAATTATCCAAAATGTCAATGACAAGATTGTTTAGAGGGAACAGATTGAGCAGGGATTTTGTCTAACCACTGTTACATAGTTCCAGTATAGTCTTACATAACCTGTGAGCCTTTGAAAAGTGAAAGAAATTGAACAGAGAGGAAGGAAACTAAAGCAAATGCCCCAGCACAAAAGTAAGCCAGGGAGTTCAATACCCTCACCTCAATCAATTAATCAACTAACAGAACTGATTAGATTTTTAATTTTTTTAAAGATTGTTTATATCTGCAATCCCTTTCTCAAGTTTGAACTCCTCCTTATTTGGGTTAATAAGATAACAGCTGATTGGCTAATCAAACAGGTTAACCATGGATCTGAAGGCTTAACATGGTGGAGAAATTTCAGCCATTCTTAGTCCAAAGGGGTCCAGCTAAGCAATGAAAAATGGGGAATTTTCTTCCAGTATGAGAATTAAATATTCCAAATTGAGCCAAACCCCTGAGAGGAAACCACTCTTGAAGAGAGGAGAGTGTCTACCTATTTCTCCTCCTTTCCTACACTTTTCCATTGAAAAAGGACCAGCAATGAATCCAAAGAGGAGTAGAGATACATACCAATGACAAACATAGACAAATATCGCTACAGACACAGAAGGATAACCACATTATAGAGGAAGAAGTATGACTCTTTTAGTGGAGAGAATGCCAACTATTGATTCTTGAAAGATATCAGCTATCAGAGTCTAGCAGACTTACCTTCAGGATCTTAACTCTATGAAAAGAGAAAAAGACTTTCCCCTCCCAACCCCCAGTGCCAACCAAGATTCATGAAGTTCTCCTTTATCATGTGTTAATTACACCTGTGTCTCACAACTATTGCACTTTTAGTTTGTGCCTCTCTCCCCAGGGACCTCCTGTTTTCCTTCATAGATGAGTATTTGATTATAAGAACACTTTTATACTGTAACTAAGACTCCACACTTAGGCATAGAGTTCAATTGGATGGATGTCATTTTGTCTCCCCAAGCATTTATTCCAAAATAAAGACAGTCAGATAGAAATGCTTATCTTAGAAAAAACAAATTTTTAAAAAATTTAAAAAAAAGAAAAAAAGAAAAAATGAACTTGATAGTTCTAACTGAGCAATAACTGTGATTTGGCTTAAGTATTTTTAGTTCATGTTTTTATTGGTTTAAAAAAATTCCTTATTTTCTATACCTGACCCTTTTTAAAAGATGTAGAAAAGCTTCTTCCTTCTCCACCTAAAATGATTCTGTAATTTTTTAAAAATGTATTTACTAGTCTTGAATAATGCATCATTTACCTCTGGGAAATATAATCCTTTTGTCTAACATTTTAGTTTGGAAGCATATGTTCTTTTACAATTTGTTGGTATGGCACCTCTGGTCATAAAACTGCAGAAAATGTAATATATAATTCCCTTGTTTGGTAGAAGGACTAAACATGTTTTGAAAAGAGGGTCCTCTTTCAGTAGGCCATCAGTAAGCGTATGCTATTAGCAAGGTCAGCTTCAAATCAGCCTGAGTTGAGTGGCTCATGACCAATGACAAATTTATAAAACAGCCTGTTTTTATCTCCACACTGAGGAATGACATCAATTTTTCATTCTGCATGAAGTCTCTTCAGCAGCCCAGAGTTAGATCTGTGCTTTTTGATGACGCTACATGACCACCTTACAGCTGTAAAAGGAAAGGAGTACCAGGATTTCTATATTTGCCAGCAGTCACAGAAGAAATTCACAAGAGCAATAGTGACTTCTGTGTAAGCACTTATTTACCCATTGCCACAATGAGTAGAAATAAAGCCACAGCAAAGAGAGGCAGCACTCTCATCACACTGAGTAAATGCTAGAAGTTAATGAGAGAACCCCCCTTTTTCTTCATTTTACAAACTGGTTCATCTACTTTCTTGTCCAATTAAAACTCAATGTGCCAGATTTTAAGTGGGTTATCAAGGTTTCCTTGCCTTACCTCAATTTTCTCATCTATAAAATGGGGGGAAATCATACCTGTAATACTTACCAAACAGGGTGTAAAGAGCAAATGTGATATAAGTAAAATGGCTTGCAAATTTTAAACCTATAAATACCAGATTTATAAATTATCAATTATGGGTCACTTTGAGCTCCAATCCATAGGATCCATCAGTCAACTAAGCTCCAACTAATTGCTTTAACTCTAATTCTATTGCCCCACTTCTATTCCCCCTTTCCTGGCTTAGATGCTATTGAAAAAACTCATTGGTATGCTTAAGGAAAGTCATGTTTCAAACCTTCTTGGGATAGAGGTGTTAGAAAGAAAATTAAAAAACAGTTTTTCTTTCGAAAAAGGAAGCAAATGTAAAAGACCAGGTGAAACACAAATACAAACTTACCAAAGAAAATCCTACTAAGACAATTTCACCTTATTTTTGCATTTCTTCATCCAAAAGATCTTCTCACCTCACCAAGCTTGAAAGCCTCTCAGATTACCCAGGGAATAAAACCAGATGTAGTGGACTAATTATACTCCAATCTTTTGAAAGGCAAATACCAATATATTTCCTTTTTCAAGGGAAAAGAACTAGCATGGACCTACATTCCTTAAGCACTAAATAGGATATTTTTAAAAATCAGTTTAAAGGTTTCCTTTTTTGTCTTCTGCACTTACCTTCAAGCCAAAAGGGATATATTAGTCTACCTGTGTGAACATATAGATAGGCAGAGAAGAAATACTTTTAAAAGGAAATGAAATATTTTAAGTGTTAGGATTAAGGCAAGGGATCTGAGGGGGGGAAATCCAATTAAGCTTTGGTTTCTGCATGTCTCTACATGGGTACAAATGGCATGTTCTATTTCTGTACTGGCAAGCTGTTCTGTATCTCCCTTTTGGCTATGGTTTTAGTACCTTTATTTTTCAACTGAGTAACTCAACTTCCTCATCAGTAGGAGCAACTGTCCACAGAATGTGCTTTCCCAAAACCCTAAACCTTGTTTTGGAAGAAATAGCATTTGAAATACTCTCACTTTTCCTCTACAGAGTATTTTTTCCTTTTTGAGGCAAAATGTTTTTAGAATACCAAATTAAAAGAAATGCAGTTTTTAGCTAGAGAAGCCTCATAGCTATATTTCTGACTTGTCTTTTCAAATTTCTAAATGCATTTTAATGTAGGCACTTGAATAAAATGTAAGCTATTTTATCACATACATATACAGTAAAACAATAGTAAAATTAATAAGAAATTATTTACCTGAGAAAGAACACACTCTATTAAATATTCTTCAATATATTTCTGTCATAGCAAAGAGACTCTTCCTTTACATTCACTCCACCCCTCCAAAATCAAGGTTTCCTCTCAAAAAGCTCAGTTATCTGTTTTGGTTTTCATAAAAATGTATCCCTGGCTGCTGCTGCTGCTGCTGCTGCTGCTGCTGCCGCCGATGCTGCTATGAGCCTTCTCAGTCTCTAGTCTCAGAGGATCCCTGAACTGCTATTTGTACTCTTGTGTCTTCTCTGTTCAGCTGGTCTCCACAATGTGATCCTAGTTTTCACTCTTGCTCTTGCTAAATCCTCCTCTCACTTTCTGTGTTTGGTCTATAATTGATGTTTTTGTGGGTTTATTTGTATTCTGTCTCTATGATTCCTCATTCCCACCTTTTTTTCCCCTTTCTCCCTCTCTTTTTCTTTCTTACCTTGGCCCTCCTTTCCCATTCACTCCTTGTTTCTTGAAATCTTTGTGCTTTCAGGAAAGGATTAACTCTAACTGCTGCTTTTGATACTGTTTAAATGGCGACAGCAAAGCTCAGCCAAGCTTTCAAGTGCCACCTACTGAATGTTTTAGGAATATTTTTCAAAGGACTGGAATTTTTTGGTTGTGTAGGCAAAGGTAATCATTTCTTTGCAAAGCACTATACTTCTGCTGATTTATTTATACTCATTGTGATGCATCACTATATTTACGTCATGATTGCTATTAACCACTCCCTTCTTATTTCAAATACTGCACAGAATCCCATATCCCAGTCTTCCAAAAGGCAAATATCACATGAACTATCCTTATTTTATACTTGATATTAACCACACGAGCTTTCTTTTCTGTATTCAAATACGGAATTCATGCCCACTCTTTTATATGGCACATGTTACTCTACTAACATATAATTAATAAATACAGTAATTCCATTAAAGGAAAATTGGGTATGTTCAGATTAATAGAATGACTAAAGCTAGTAGTACTATAAATTCCTCTCCATTCAATAGCTTCACAGTAAAATTGCTAGAAAATGATAGTAGTATATATTTTCTAGATTCTGTTTTAGCAATCTTTTATCAAAGGAAGATTTATTAAGAATCAGAAATATAGAAAAGTATTCCCATTTATGAAAATATTTCCATTTTTAGAAAATGCTTTTTTGGAATGTTAAAAAATATTACCAATATATGCAGCCCAAATGGCAGGGCTTTTCTTTTTTACTAAAATATAACCTCCTTTAAAAAATCAGCCAGCATTAAGATATCACTGGGTAATAGTAATGATTTTTTGCTATTACAAATCTGAAGGTAATCTACAAAGCACATAGCATTTGCTCAAATAAATTATTTTTCCTTTACTTAACCCTATAAAAAGTTAGTTTTGGGTCATTTTTGCATCAGAAATAAGTAGTTTCTTAACTTTTCTAATTTACAGCTTTGCATTCTCTATACCATGTTATTTGGGAAGTTATCATTAATAATAAACAGCCATCAGCAAACATTTATTAATTGGTCACCGTGTCAGGAATACATGGAAAAACAAAAATACAGCACTTGATCTCAAGAAGCTCAAAATATAATGGAGGACATGACATGCAAATAACTATGTTTATATATAGATATGTGTGTGTGCATAGTCAGTCAATAAACATTTATTAAGAACCTACTATGTGCCAGGCACAGTGCCAAGCCCTGGGAAAACAAAGACACCAGTATCATCAGATCACAGAATACATGGCATGAAGTAAAATGCAAGAAGAGAAAGATAGGAAGGGGCCAGGTTATGAAAGGCTTTAAAAGCTGAACAAAGCTTTATATTTGATCCTAGAGGTAATGGGAAGCCACTTGAGTGTATTAAATGGATGGTGATATGGTCAGACTTGCCTTTTAGGAAAATCAGTTTGACAGCTGAAGGGAAGATAGGTTTGGAGTGGGGAGAGATTTGAGGCAGGGAGACCAACCAGCAGGCAATTACTATAGTTTGGGCATGAGGTCACAAATGCTGAATCAGGGTGTCTGTAGAATCAGAGGACAAAAGGAAACAAGTGAGAGAAGAGATGGAAGGGAGGAAGAAATAAAAGGACTTGAAAATTGATTGGATATGGGATGTGAGAGAGAGTAAGGAGCGGAGGATAACACCTAAGTTGCAAATCAAGATGATTAGAAGGATGGTGGTACCCTCAACAATGATAGGAAAGTTGGGAGGGTAGGAATTGAAGGAAAAGGTAACGAGTTCCATGATATTGAGGGACAGGACAAAAGGACTCAGGATAGAACCTGAAGGAAATCTATGGTTAGAAGGTGTAGTCTAGATGAAGATCCAGCCAAGGAAACTAAGAAGGTGGGGCAGTTTTGCCAAGACAGTTAGGCAGGTGAAAAAGCATTTATTAAGTACTTTAAAGTATTACATTCCAGAAAGTGTGATAAGTGCTGGGGACACAAATACTGGCAAAAAGATGGTCCCCACACTTCTGGAACTTACTTTTTTAATGGGGGAACACAACACAAAAGTGGGAGCTGGTAAGAGGCAGGAGAGAGACAAGATGTCAACTCAGAAGCAGAACTGGGAGGAGAATGAAGGATGTCCATCCCGGACCCTTCCCCAAAAAACAAACTTCAGAAGGGACTTACCAGGAGAAAGAGAATGACTTGGCAAAGGGAAGTTTTGAGGTGAGAAGGCAACTTAGAGTCAGAAGCATAGCCAAGGTGGAATGAAGACAGTGAAAAGTTTCACAAAACTAGGAGAGAAGAGAGTGTCTTGGAGAGGAAATGGTCAACAGTGGTAAAGTATAGAGAAGTCCAGAAAGCAGAGAATTGAAAAAGGGCAAGGTTGTTAGATATGGCCATTAAGATATCATTGTTAGTTTTGAAGAGAGCAGCTTCACTCAAATGATAAAAGCAGAAGTCAGGGGGCAGCTAGGTGGCGCAGCAGATAGAGCACTGGCCCTGAAGTCAGGAGGACCTGAGTTCAAATCCGGCCTCAGACCAAACACTTGACACTTATTAGCTATGTGACCCTGGGCAACTCACTTAACCCCAATTGCCTAAAAAAAAAGAAAGGAAAAAAATCAGAAGTCAAATTGCAGGGAGCTCCAAAGCAAGAGAAAGGAAATGAAATAGAGGTACCTAGGGCAGATAGCTTTCTCAAGGGTGTTAGCTGCTTAGGGGAGAGGAGGTATAGGATCCCTAGTGAGAGGGCTAAAATCAAGCAAGGATTTTTCAAAGATGGAGGAAACATGAGTTTGTGGGTAGGCAGTAGGGAAGAAGTCAATAAATAGAGAGAGATTAAATAGAAGAGAGAGTGGGGATGATAATGAGGGAAATCTACTAGAAAATTTAGGGGGGAATAGGATCAAGGATGCATGTAGAGGGGTTTGCTTTGGCAAGGAAAAAGGTCAGCTCTTCACAGGAGACAAGAGTAGGAGGGGAGAACTAGGAGCTCTTGGCGAATGGCCTCATTTTTGGGGAGAGAGAGACTTGAGGTCCTATTCTTAATTTCTTCTCAAGATACCATGAGAGAACAAATTATCAGGAAAAGAGCAATTCAGGGAAAAGTGAGCAAGGAACAAGCATTTACGAAGTGCTGACCATGTGCCAGGCACTCTGCCAAGCACTTTAGAGATATTATCTTATTTGAGCCTCACAACAACCCTGTGAGGCAGATGCCATTGTTGTTGTTGTCGTTCAGTTGTTTTGGTAGTGTTCAACTCTTCATGACCCTGTTTGGATTTTTCTTGGCAAAGATATTGGAGTGGTTTGCCATGAGTAACTGAGGCAAACAGGGTAAAGTGACTTGCCCAGGATCACAGGGCTGTTAATTATCTGAGGTCAGTTTTGAATTCAGGTCTTTCTGATTGTAGGTCTAGAGCTCTATCCATTGCACCACCAGCTGTCCAATGATATATTTAGAATCAGAAGGCCTGGCTATAAGTTCTGAATCTGCCCTTTACTAGTTCCATGGGCGGCAAGGTGCTTCAATGTAGCACTGGGCTGGTTCAAATCCAGCCTCAGACACTTACTAGCTGTGTTACCCTAGGCAATTCAGGTAATGCTATTTGCCTCAGTTTCCTCATCTGTAAAATGAGCCACATTACAATATCTTTGCCCAGAAAACTCCAAATGGGTTCATGAAGAGCCAGACAGGACTGAAAATGACTGAACAATGACAAAGCTGTTTCATCTCAGAATCTATTTTAAGAAGTTGTTTTCTTCAGTGGATTTTTGTACCTCCTTTTCTGTTTGGCCAATTCTACCTTTTAAGGAGTTGTTTTCTTTTTCCGTTTGTTGTGCTTTCGTTTCCAAGTTGTTGACTCTTTTTTTCATGATTCTCTTGCATAACTCTCATTTCTTTTCTTAATATTTCTTCTACCTCTCTTACTTAATTTTACTTTAATTTTTAAAATCCTTTTTAAGCTCTTCCAGGAGGGCTTTTGAGGCCTGGGACTAAATTATATTTCTCTTTGAGGCTTCGCATGTAGGCCTTTTGACTTGGCTGTCCTCTTCTGAATGTGTTTTCATCTACCCTATGGCCATAGTAGCTTTGTATGGTCAGGGCTTTTTTTGTTTTTTGTTTGGTTGGTTGGTTTTTTGCTCATTTTCAGCCTCTTTTGTTACTTTTAAAGTTGAGTTCTGCTTTTAGGGCACAGAGGGCATTGTCCCAAGTTTCTTGAACTGGGGCTCAAGTGGATGGTCACTGGCTTGCTATGTCAAGGCCTTTGAGGCTGGCAGCTTACCTGCCATACTACAGTCACCTGGCCTGGTCTAGCCAGCTGTCTGGAGGCTTCTGCACCTGCAGACATGACCACTAGCCTGCTGCACTGAAGCTGGAAGCCTCACAGCTGGCCCACTCTACCTGTTGAGCCAGAAGCATAAGGCCTCAGTTGCTGATCTGTGCTGGCTTGCCTGGACACTGCCTGTGCTAAGCTGTGCTCCCCTTTTACCTAAGTAAAACAGACCTCTCCTGCAATCCTGTTAAATTATCTTGGGCTGGAAAAATGTTTTACCTCATGCTTTTCTGGGTTCTATCACTCCAGAATTCATTTTGAGGTGTGATTTAAAGTTGTTTCAAGGGAAACCGGGGAAAGCTCAGGCAACTTCCTATCATTTTGCCACTATTTTGACTCTGCCTCCTCAAAATCTATTTTAACATCTGTAAAATGAAACTGATAATGCTTGTGTTACCTCTTTCAAAAGATTGCTGATAGACTCAGTAACGTATAATGTATGTAACGTACACAAAAGTATTTGCAACAAAGACACAGTGGCACTTATATTCTATAGGCATACCTCTTCTATCTCCACATGGAAATGTGGCTGCTCAGCAGGACAGAGTGTGGTGATTCCCATGGTTTTCAGGCATTCACCAAGTTATAGTGTTCTGGACTCCAATGGGCAGGAATTCTTATGCCCTTAGAGAATCAGGAAGTTACATCAAAAGTGGCTGGAGCCAATCAGATCCTGGGGACAACTTTGTTGCCTTTAGGGAAAAGTAATTTCTTTTTCTGTTTGTTTGTTGGGTTTTTTAAAGGCA